GGCATCTTCACATAAATGAAGTAAGCGATCACCGCTATCATTACGGGAGCCTACACCATGTTGGCCGCCCAGATGCAGTTCATCAGTGGACAACTTTCTAACTTGCGCGTTCAGATCCCCAGCCAGCACAAGTGTCCGAGCTTCTTCTGTGGCGAAGCTCGTTCAATTGGCGATAGAAGTTATCTTTCACCGAATCATCGCTAGAGTTTGTGGGTGCATGGGCAGCGATGACGAACAGACACCTGTTAGTCCCGCGCGACTTTGAAGCTTTGAACGAGCCAGTCAATCGGACCGCACACATCCGGCTACTGATTGGGATCCAATCAACCAGAGCAGCTTCAGCTCGGGGACTCAGGGCGATACTAAAATCGGCTTGGTCAGCGCTCGAAGCTGCATCGTCACCGAAAAGTGCTGCTAGTGTCACCTGAAGGGATCACAAAGTGAGCACAGAGCTCGAGTCTTGCAGGCGGGTCTCCGATAAGCAGCAGATATCGATCGATAACGTCTCTAATGTTCGGACAAGCGCTGCCAGTTGACTGATCTGTAGCAATGTACGTACATTGAGGCATGCCAATCTGAAGGATGATCGAGGGCTCCAAATGAAAGTCGATGAACTGGGCTTGGCCGCTTGGTTGGACATGGGCTTGTCGACAAGACAGGAATGACGCTCCGCGTTCACATGTGAGTTGAAACTAGGAGGTAAAAGCCTATCAAAGCAAGATGGGGGAAGGCCAAGAATTGGGGGGGTTGAAAATGGGGGGATAAAAGTGAAGCTGGAACGGGACGGTAAAAGAGAGAGAGGGAATAAGAATATGAGGAGGCTTGAGCAGTAGCATCCAAACCCCTATCCACCCTGCTCGATGCAGCAGATAGGGCACTGTTGATTATCCTCTGCGGTGGCCAGAGCATCAAAAAAACCGTTTGAATAGAAATTCATAGTATTGCGTGGACAAGGTACTGTCAGGTTGCCCAGGCCTAGACAGGAGAACGATTAGGGTTCTCAACCAAAGCCTTTGGTTCAAAAACCTGACCGCAAGGCAGGGGGTTTGGCGTTGGGCTACAACGAATCCGTTTTAAGGAATAAGATGCCACCCTCATTCCAACCCCCAACCTGGAAAACCAGGAGACTGAGTCTGTCTGGCCTCTAACCATTGACCAATCTGATATGAGTGGCTCTGAAGGTGCAAAAAAAGCACCACTCAGCATAGCTGAATGGATCGCTGAGGCACACAAACTATCGCACCACGGTAAGGTCCAGCCTCATTGCGATGGATATGAGGTAGCCAATTTGATGTTGGTTACTTTCTCTTCAATAATGCCAATGAACCCGTCCGTCAGTAAGAGTTGGCCAATCCCCAGCAAGCAAGAACGAGCAATGCGAGTACGCGGCAAAAAACTGGAGTTTATTCCGGATAAAAATGCGAACCACAAGTGAGTTAAATTACACTGTACGGTCTGCGCTGGTTCTTGTCCAATCGTTCATAAGAGTTGATTTTAAAGCAACGCTGTTGATCGAGATCTTTCCGGTGTGTTACAATCTGACCATTGGGCATCAGCTGGTCTTGACTTTGGGCTTAGCAGGTTCGGGTATTCAGGGCAGGCGATTGAGTGAACACGATTCACGAGGTTTATTGGCCTGCACTCGTAAAACCGTATCCTCCAAGCAGGGCACAATGGGTAGCCTATAGCCACAGTCGATCTGTAGGTATGATTTTCCTGAAAAGTAACACTGGACATCTTTTACACACACAGTAGGAGCGCGTTTTACAACATTTCCGTTGGAACCTGTAGTCGAATGTTGTTTTTGTGATAAAGCCACATGGGTGATCAACGGATTCGTCCAAAGGGGAACATTGGTGAAAAGAAGCTACGCGTTAAGTAAGTCCATACGCTTGTGGTTCAAGTTAATGGTTTTCATGTAGGGAAGTACTCCGGTATTCGACAGTGTTTTACATGGAATCTTCTCACAGGTTTAAGCATGCAGTTAAGCCATTTACCAATGGTATGTTACTGCGAATTCAAAGTGTAGTCAAACGGGTACGCGTGACCAAACCGATTCGATAAGATCAGGTTTTCAAACCGCTGACGCATCCTATCCGTTTGTTACACTTTGCATTTATTGTGTCTATGTTATTGCGAATGAATATCTACTCATTATGAATGAATAAAGCGCATTGTTGTTGACTAGACAACGACAGTTGAAGAGCCAGGGTAGACGAATGACATCGATTCGATGTAAATGATTTTGCGATGTCAAAGATTTGGTGACTACCGGATTCGGATAGCTGTCCGGCCTTTCTAATTTTCGAAGGGTGACAGTGACGACTCAACAGCATTGTTATATCTGCCATTCATTTCAATATCAATGCCGCTAAACATGGGGAAAGTGAACGGCAAACTAAGCTAGATGCACACCTTTCTTAGCTCCCTTTTCTCTGGAAACCGCTTGTCTTCTCCCACGTTTTCTCACCACCGCTGTCATCTTGGTGACTCGAGTCACATCAACTGGAACCACCGTGCTATGGTCCCCAAGGTTGCTTCGGGCATCAGTTGCAGAACGATGAGATCGCATAGGTGCGCTACATACTCCAGGTGATCTGGTTGAATGTCCTTTGTCCTTTACTGTTAAAGTCTACGCGCGTAGTACTAACACAAGTATTGCGAACGTAGTAATGGCTCGTAGCCGAAACGATGTGGGGGAAACAACAGAACACACCGAGCTGAGAGCACGCACCGTATGTATTGTGACGAGGACCATGTGCACAGCGCTTCGATGATGTAGTTCAGAACAACTCGCCAATGAGTGGATGGACGATTAACAGACATTCACACGTACACGTACAGGTGTGAAGATCTGACCGTCGATTGTGATCCGTACACAGTTACTTATTAATAATAGCATCATATTGTGCAAAGACGTTCTGGTCGACGAAGTAGATTATCCAATGGCATTTCTTGGAATAGGGATTTCTTGGCCGATATGGAGTCCACTGATCGATTCATTAGGTGCACTTCCTAATAAACCGCGCATCGGTACCCGGATCATAGTTGCTTAACTGTACTGATGGCAAACTATATGAGAATACATTCAAACCGACCGTAAAACGCGTAAGTGAGATGCTGCCACCCTAGTCCGATTATAGGGCCAAAAGGAAAGGTATAAAAATTGGCAGGCCTTGAAAATAAAAAGTATGACAACACATTTAGTGGTGGTAGACAGTATGCGAGTACTCTGTAGCCGGTATAGTGTGCTCATGCAAAATAGGAAAGGGGCCGTGCGTTTTACAAATGAGAGCATGGAAAGATGGGACAGTGCAGAGGAATGTAAAAACAAAAAATACACGACCAAAGTTGTCACGAATTCAAAGGAAGGTGAAACTTCCATGAACACCAGCCTTAAAATGACAAGGGCCATTTGTTTGAATCGGACACAAATGAAGAATATATAAAGTACCCCGTAATGATGGCTGTTTCGCTCCTAAATAAATGAAATGTGGTCGGATGCAGCTGATATGATTAGGTTAGATTCTGACAATACTAGTGGATAGACTCCCCCAAACTTGCCACAAAAAGTGGCCCGAAGTCATATGAACATTTGGTGTTCAGTGTACGCATGCTGTCTCTGAATTTTAAAGTGCATCAGTTCAACACACTTTAGTGAGACTGTCCACGCATGAAGGTAAAGCAGAAGTGCATCAGGTACTCATCAAGTAATGGCACAAAATGGGTTTCCATACAGTGAAGGCAAATGCAGTTGGCACGGCTTCACACAGTTGATTTGGTGTACGAATGAATTCAACGCGAGCAAGTGATTGCGGCATGTGAGTTGACAGTCGGTTGCGACCGTGAAGAAACACAGTACCTCCGTGCATACAGAGAGACTATGGGTAGCCCCCAGAGCTTGAAGCTCCATTCATATACCTCAAATTCGGTGTAAACCAAAGCAAATAAGCAACAGAGCCACGCGAACGTGCGGTAACGACGCCTACTCTACTAACGCGGGAGAAACATGTGCGCAAGACGGTGACAAAGTTGTAGCCTACTTTTTGGTGGAGCAACTACATGAACTTATTAGTGTCACCAAAAAAAGAATCAAGAGTACGCCGGTAGTTTGTACCGAAGTTTCGCATCCACACGACCGCCGCTAGTCATGTGCGGGCTAAGCACACAGCGAGATCACCTGCACCAAAGAAAGTAAATGCAAAAAGTGTGCACACCGCATCTCCCAGAGCCAACAACCAAGATGGATGGGTCGAAGTGGTGTACGCCCCGCCAGCGCCGCATCCAACGCTTTCAGAGTTGATGCATCACGCGAGGTTTGACTTGAAACATTCAGTTACAGCCTGTCTGAAGCGATAAGATAAAACACATGCACTGTCGGCCACGGTGCTGACGTTTTAATGACGGTTAAAACGCCGTGCTTTGGACAAGGATGGCTATTACTAACAAAATCAAAGCATGTTAGACGCAGATTCATCGGAAACAGCACAGTTGGATACATGGTGTTCACAGGTCGACCAATCCGAGAAGGGAATTCGGATTGACCTTGGAGAGGATGTTTTCGCAGCGAAGGATGCAAAGGAAACTTGTCCCATATGAATGGTTTTGTAAGTATTTAGCAAATATCATTCGGTGAAGCACAAACTGGAACACGGAGGCACATAAATCAACGAACCACATTAAGATCCGAAAAGAGCTGATGGTAGGGAAAAGCTAATGACCATACCACTTAGTTGGTCTTAAAATGGTGAACGAGGAATGAACCGATAAAGTCCTTAAATCAAGCGACGGACAGGGTTTTACAGGGAGTGCTGGATCAGGACAACACAAGAAGATTACTTAGCCCCTCAAAAGTAATGAACAAGAAATGTGATGAAACCGCGGGTTAAGTAAATCATTAGAAGTTATCCATTTATCACATAATACAATTTCGCGATTTAGAAAGGTCACTTTAAGCCGGTAATCAACGGATAGTGCTTATAAAAGACACTCGGATTTACCTTTACAAACAGTTTCCCCCGCTTTTCGCCGCTCTTGGGAATCACGTAGACTGACATAGATTTCCGATCTCGGGAAAACTCCAGAGTGAACTCTTTGTGATAAAGTTCCTAGAGAGAGCAAAACGAGGCAATCAATATACAAATCGAGAGCACCGCGCAGTTGGGCCCATATAGGTTCAAAGAGTTGGTGGTCTACCTGTAAGTTGCGGCTACAAGCCATGGCAAGCTGTCGATTGCTCAGATGTGATTTGGCTACACCGGAAACATTCATTTTCTCTGCAAGGCAAATGAGAGCAGTCTCGGTAGCCTCTCCAACTTTCTCGAAGGTATGTTTAGTTTCGTTGAATTCTAAACCGGAGTCGTTGCATAACGCACATATGTGAGCCAACTCCACCAAGCACGGGTTGTTCGTACAGTCGATCTTTCGACCTTTGTGTAAGCTGAGGGTGTAGGATAAAGATAGATGAGTGATGAAACAAAGTTTATGATGGATTATAAAATCAGATCTGTGATGCAGATGTCAAGGATTGCCAATATCGAAGAAAGGGACGGGTAAATATCGGCCTATTGCACCCACCTCAGTGGCTATGAAGGTCTTTGAGAAAATCATTCTTGGGAAAGTGCTGGCCTAGTCCCGTTTGGATGACTCATTTCAGTTTAGGTATAAAAGTTCAAGATCCACACATGATGCAGTGGCTTGTCTAGTGCATTCATGATTGTCGTCGTTAGACCGTAAAAGCGAAGCCACACATGTTTGCCTCCTCCACTACAGCAACGCTTTCGATTGTGTGAACCGCTAATTAATGTTGCAAGACCTACAGATGTCTGGTATTCAGACTTCCTTGGTGTTCTTGCTAAAGGATTATTTCGTACTCAGGTAACGAGGTTTGACAGCAAAAGCTCCTCCTCACTTATCACATCTGGTATCCTTCAAGGAGCCATTTGTCACCATTCCTGTTTTTTGTTGTGCTATTCATCCCAGTAGTTCACAAGCTACATAGCATAGCCTAGTCCGGAAAAGCACCAGACGCGTTTCGCCCAATGGGGGCTCGTCAGTGGTGCGCATTCCCTCGGTTCCCTGCTGGGGATCGAACCCATCACCGCTAGAGGCGGATGCTACTCACGAGTAATACCATTCTTGTGCTCTACTTAGGTCAGCTTTAACCAGTCCCAGAAGAAATCATCCTGTCAAAATATGCGGATGACGTTAGCATTGGCGCGAAGTATCACACCTCGGCCTTCTCACCAAAGCTACAAAGTTGTTTAGACGAATTAGTGTAAGGGGCAAACTCCCGCCGCTTGAAGCTAAACGCGTCCAGGTCTAATGATACGCTATTTTCACTTCATAAAGCAAGTTGTTACCAAGAACTTGTCACGGAATGTCCCAAACTGACCGAAGGTTTGAGCTTATGTAGTTCGGTGAAGCATCTTGGAGTTATACTGAGCCACCATCTGTCATGGTTACTTAAACTGAATCAAATATTCCCCAAGGTCAGGCGATTTTCGTTTTCCGTCGCTCGATTGTGGTTATTGTGTGTAGCTTACAATTTGATTCAGAAGTTCATCACTGGGTGCATTCTATCACACTGGACTTAATGCGCTCTCCTGTGATTTTGCCAGGCCTAATGTATAAGCATTTCAAGCTACTTGGCAGATCACTTAAGCACTTGTCCCGTGCTGCAGCGGTATACCAAAGCCAACTTTGGCAAACACAATTGCATGAACGTACGCAAATTCATGCATTAAACTTACTTCAAAAACACTCATTGACATAGTAGCCATCCTCTTCACGCTGCGCTTTCCAAGTGTGTATCTACTTTGTTGACCAGGCAAAGTACAGAGCAATGTACGGCAGTACGAAAACACAAGGTTCGGCGGTCATTCCCTATACAACTAGATTTCCTTTTGACCAAAACGCTATTATTCAAAAACTGTCCATTAAATTCAGCCAGTGAGGTTATTTTTTATATAGCCTTTTGCCGTTTGTTCTGTCTCCTTGAACTGCTTTGTTGTCATATCGATAGCATGTGTCAAGGCTGAAAACTCATCCGTCATGGGTGCATAAGAGCGCATTCTTGAGTTGACTTAAGAAAAAGATAGGTGACTATGTCTGCGAATGCCATGAACAATAATCGAAGGGTGCATGCAAGAATATGATCGAAAACCTAGGGTTCCACGATGCATAATTTTCAAAGTAATAAGTTGAAAAGGCATCAGCAGTATGCCGATACACAATACCGATGCTTCGCAGCCGCGCAACCAGCACCGGTCGTACGTGGGCTAAGGATACCGCGAAGGTCGCCCGGTCCCTAGGTAAGCTCGAACCCGCGACCTTCGTCACGCGGCCACCAGCACCAATCGTGTGTGGGGTCTGGGCGTACCGTGACGTCACCTGCGTCTACGCGGATTAGAATCGATGATCTCCGGCCACCGTCCGACTGATAAGGTGTTGATGATCTGAGAAAGCGAACGCAGTGACAAGTGTTTATAATATTGGTGCACTGAGCTTTTGGGCCACAAGACGGAGTTAATCATGCTGGCGAATGCGACGCGGGACGAGCAATGAGGTTACAGTGATGAGAGTGGACGCCAGTGTAGTATGGGGATTTGTGTGTCTTCCTGACTAAGTATGTCACGAAAAACAGCACTATCTGGGTGTCATCAAAAAACCACATTCAAGAGAGAAGGTCAGCCCAGGTAGTCGGCTGTAGACAGCGCGCTAAAGTATGGCAAAATTTAGTTCGTCCTCATAAAAGGACACAAAATTAGTAAACCATACAACAAATTGGCAAATATGTCGCAACCAGAGTTTCATATGACTTTTATGTTAAGTCAACTCGGTTCAACAGTTAGATTGAATGTAATGGCGGAGCCTTTAAATCGGCTGTCGTCTCTTCATTAGAACATCATACTCAATCTGTTGTGGGTTTATAAGTGTTCACTAAATATAGTGGATACTTTTGTCGCTTGGGCTATTTACAAGGTCACAAATGCTGTTCTCCGACGATATTTTCGAAAAGGGAATTTCAGACAACATGCGTACTATATGAAACTATCAAAAGGCGTTTCGTAACTTGAGGAATCTTCGTTCGGATCGAAAAACGGCTTACACACTACCGTCAATAGCATGTAGATCCGGGACCGTTTATTCGAACAACTGCAGCCAAAAGGATCACAAGCCTCTCTTGTAATCTGACGGCGCGGGTACGAGCCTGCTTAGGGTACCGGGCGATCATCGCAGTATCTTTAGCCCACACGTGACTGTCAGTGGTTGCGCGGCAGCGAAGCTCGGCGCTGCGTACCGGCGTACTATTGATGCTTTTTACCTTCTGTGTTCTCAATGTTATACCTTTCACTTATGCAATTTATCCTTTTTAATGGCGCTGTGGTAGAACATCCGTAGTAGCAATTGTAAAATGCTGAAAATGCACCGACTCAAGTAAAATAAGCCTTATACTGATTGGACTAGAATCTTACAACCGTCGACTCGACGAGCAAAGGTACTGAGAAAATGACCAAAGTACAGAAGCGCCAATACCTCCGCGGACGCGCTGTGTTCGAGATCTTTAGTTAGTTGACAGGAACTGAGGCTTCTATTCAGGGAGGGGATACGCAATAAGTACATCCAGTTTCATTTGGTTCATCACAACATTACAAGCCGCAAAGCACCAGAAGATCGTTTCACCCTATTGGGGCTCGTCAATGATGCGCATTCCCCCGGGAGTGTGAATTACCTATTCTTCAACGAATCACGGGCAATGCTGATTTTCAACACGGCAAATATTCCCATTGTAATCAGATGAATCAAGACCAGAAAACAGTTCAGGGTTAAGATATCTTTTCGGTAAAATCTCGTCAGACCCAAACTTTTACATGACACGGATTATGTGGGGTAAGCGTCAAATCGGGCTGGGATTGATTTCTAAGGTGTTTGAAAGGTCAAGATCGATGACTAAAGGTGGCTACAGATGGTAGGAAAAGTGCATCAAAGGAAATTAATACAAGCTTCAGGGCCTAAAGTAAATAGCTAAGGTCACAAAGGGTAGTTAAGTAACCATGTCAGTCGGCCAAGGTAGTAGTATCGGCCGTATGAATCGTTTGTGTACGCATAATTCCGGCTTCAGATGATGGATGTAAATAGCCTCGGCGATAGACAAGATTTGCTTTCGGAAGCCTTGCGATAAGCGTTCAGGTAGTGAGTAGATGACTTTAAAGTCATTCTCAGATGCAGTATGGCCACTTTCGAGGAGGTGCGACATGATTGAGCTGTCTGAGGCCCTCATTTCGCCAAGCCAAACTGATCACAAAGAGCGAATACGAAAAGTTGAAGCCTTCAGGTGGACACCTACCGAGATTATATGACCTTCCAGAAGTTCACAAGGAAGGCGCCCCAATACGTCCAATCTTGGATATGGTGGGTTCTCCCCAGTATTTGTTGGCCCAATGGATGGTGAACAAATTGCAACCGTTACGGGATATGGTTTGCACTTACTGCGTGAGAGACTCCTTCGAATTCATTGAGAAGATATCTGGACTCAACTTTACTAACAAAAGGATGATATCTTTTGATGCCCAGTCGCTGTTTACAAACATTCCCCTGCTCGAAACGGTGGAGTACGTGTGCGAGTTGACCCGGCAACTACCAATATACGCTAACTTTCCGGAGGATCTGCTAAAGGAGATACTATTTCGCTGCACGTTAAATGTTCAATTCATGTTCAATGGTGAGATGTACCGTCAGATTGATGGAGTGGCCATGGGATCTCCTTTGGGGCCGTTGTTGGCTGATATCTTTATGGCGAAATTAGAACATGGCCCACTCAGGACGCACATCTGTGGAACTGAAATGTACATACGGTACGTCGATGACACCTTCGTGCTTTGCGAATCCGAAAAGCATGCAGAACAGTTGCTGAAGGCCTTTAATGATGCACATGATAATCTACGCTTCACCTGTGAGCACGAAAATAAAAACCGTTTACCTTTCTTGGATGTAGAAGTCATCCGCAATTCGGACGGCTCATGTAGCAGAAAGGTACACAGAAAGCAAATGTGAACCGAACAGTACACTATTTCACAGCACAGTGTCTTTACATCACAAGAGGAGTTTAACCCGATCTTTTGCCTTCAGGGCACGTAGTATTTGCACTCCGGATATCGTCAACGAAGAGTTACAGAGAATCAGCGACGCCCTACGTGAGAATGGTTACCCCGATAAGTTTATCATGAAGCATATGAAAGAACGCAAGCGAAAGCCACCTAGAAGCATTGCTCCCAAGAAAGAGCTGTTCATACATTTACCATTTAAGGGCGATACTGCAGCTGATATCCTATCTCGACGTTTGAAAGATGCTGTTGAGAAAACTTATTTCGCAGCCCGCTTAAGAATTGTTTACCACAACAAACCATTGCTTGCAAAACCCTTGAAAGATAGTCTGCCATCGTTGACCCGTTCAATGCTCGTTTATCAGTACTCGTGCTCTTGTGGTGCACGATACGTGGGTCGCACAACGAGACGTCTATCCCAGAGGATTCGCGAGCACATCCCGGCGTGGTTTTACAAAGGCGAAATGAGGGCCTCAGACAGCTCAATCATGTCGCACCTCCTCGAAAGTGGCCATACTGCATCTGAGAATAACTTTAAAGTCATCTACTCACTACCTGAACGCTTATCGCAAGGCTTCCGAAAGCAAATCTTGTCTATCGCCGAGGCTATTTACATCCATCATCTGAAGCCGGAATTATGCGTACACAAACGATTCATACGGCCGATACTACTACCTTGGCCGACTGACATGGTTACTTAACTACCCTTTGTGACCTTAGCTATTTACTTTAGGCCCTGAAGCTTGTATTAATTTCCTTTGATGCACTTTTCCTACCATCTGCAGCCACCTTTAGTCATCGATCTTGACCTTTCAAACACCTTAGAAATCAATCCAAGCCCGATTTGACGCTTACCCCACATAATCCGTGTCATGTAAAAGTTTGGGTCTGACGAGATTTTACCGAAAAGATATCTTAACCCTGAACTGTTTGCTGGTCTTGATTCATCTAATTACATATTCACATAGTGCACATTTTCAATTTTACCATTGATGTAATCAGGAGTAGGGGATTTTGGTACAGTTACTTGGGGGTTCATCGGAGCCAGTTCCAAATCAGACGGTCGTCCACATGCCAGGAAAAGCCCCAGACTGCAGGTTCAACCCGATGGGCGAGAGCAGTTGTGCACATCCACCAGATTCTATCTGTCCCAGTGGTATAAGCTGCTGATTGGCGGTGCAGGTCGCTGGTGGTGATGGGTTCGAATCGAGATGGATCCGACTGATGCGCACTATTGATAATGCACAACAGGTTAAAACTGCAGTCTAGTGCTTTTCCAGACATGTGGAGAACTATCTGATTTGGAAGCTGTCGCGAGGAACTCTCAATTAAGTCTGAATTTGTTTAAGAAAAAACAATAAGAAAAACCACAAGAATAATAAACAAATCTAAATGACTTTTGCTAGGGCCGGCTAACCATCTGTGTACGATGCTGGTGAGCATGTTGAAAGCAACAAATAGGTTTAATGCACTGATTATTCTTGCATGACGGCTTTCACCAATGTTCAAAAGAACGATGGTGGCCGACAGACCCGCATTTACTGTGCAGGTCTGCTTATAGTTGTCAGTACTGTCTGGCTGCGCACGACAATGTTGTACACGCGCTCTAATCTCCAATAAGGTCTTTCCACTGCTTTCTGATTCAACACAAGATTAGTAAAAATCGAGAATCTCATTTATTTATTTATCCATTTTTGTTTCTTAGGAGTGGCACTGAACGTTCCGCAGGCCGAGGAAAGGTAAAGGGTCATCAGCTTCCTTCGATTTGAGGCCAAGTTCATGAAGCACAAAGCCAGCTCGATTGGTGCAGAACAGAAACATCAAGAGTTTGGAGCGCGGATGGTTTGCTGTCGCCCACCCGAAAGGATTCAGGCCAAACTCATTTGCGGTAGGCCACGGACACAAATGGATCGCATGAAGCGGTGAAATGCATGCACAGTCCATTGTGAGTGGGCTTGAACAAGCCTAAGCAGACTCTCGTTGAAATGGGTAGCCACATGCCCGAACTGTATTCGATCACTGCCGATCTGAAGGGTAGACTAGTGTGATTAAGTGTTGACCTCGACACTTTGATCTAGACCACTTGTTAAAATTGGCAGTCGAAGAGTTCCGTTCGCCCACAAGACACCGCAATCTGTGTGTAAGCTTTTTTCGTTTGCTTCTTTTGCTGACTACTAACTCGCAGCTACTGAGTAGGAAACCGCTCTCTGAAAAATGGCGTCGCGAGAACTGATGTTTATTCAAATGGCCAGATATGTGGAAACTTACACAAGTACGATGCAGAAAACCGAGCTGACGCTTGATAAGTTACACAAGAGCAGTCCTGAAATCTATAGATTTTGGATGGTACATGGCGCATTCATCTCTCATGCTTAAATCGCTGTTCAACTTGTTGACAAATAGATGTTGGCAGACTGCCGGTCAAGAAGCTGTGGGTAAGGCGCGCGGGTTCGGAAATATAATAAGCACGTAATTGTTCACATCGTTTTATCAATATGGTCAAGTAGAACAGTGCAAGAAACCAAACCAGGTCGGCTGTGAGAAATTATTGGAGCTGCTAAATAAGGCAAGGAAAGGCATCAGAAGTACGCCGGTACGCAGTACCGACGCTTCGCTGCCGCGTAACCACCACTAGTCGCACGCGGGCTAAGGATATTGCGAGGGTCGCCCGGTCCTTACGCAGACTCGACCCGTGTCTTTGGGGTCCAAGGTAAGGTTAAAGCTAAGGGCTGGATGAGGAAGGGGATCAGAAAGGACCTCCCCAGGGGGCACAGCACACAGTGAGTGCCTGCAATCCCGCAATGATAAGAGTTGGCCGATTTTCATTTCGTATCCCTTGTACAGCCAAGTGGACAAAATGAAGAGCGTGTAAAGATAGTGGTTACGAAAGCGAACATGGAAGCAGTCGAGCAGTAGTTAAACGCAATAACTCCACTAAGTCTGGTGTCGTCAAGAAAATTGACATCGAAATGAAAAGCAGTAAGAATGACACGTGCGGTCGGAGAACCAACACTATGGGAAACAGCACTAGGTAAAAGGACGTGAAGTGTCGATTTTACTCACACGGATCCTTCCGGGGCATATTTAGAGCCGGTGACTTCAAATTCGTCGAACGAAAGGGGTAGACCATCTCCGCCACGAGCTCCTTGGATCCCATCAGCGAAAGTGAACATGCGAACCACGGTCATCTGGTTCGTTGTTAAGGTTCCAGTTTTGTCGGAACAAATAACAGTAGTGCAACCCAACGTCTCCACGCTCGGTAGAGAACGAACAATAGCATTTTTGCGAGCCATGCGCCGAGTACCTAGAGCCAAGCAAGTAGTAATCACGGCTGGCAGGCCTTCTGGGATGGCAGCCACAGCCAGAGCAACAGCAATCTTGAAGTAGTACACGGCTCCTCGAAGCCAAGAACCACCATGAACGGGATCGTTGAAATGACCGATGTTTATACACCACACAGCAATACAAATTAAGGTGATAACCTGAGTAGATAAAGCAAAAGATATACATATGGGGAGGTTGTGAACAAACGAAGCAAGTAAGCAAAGCAACGACGAATATGTGTATGAGAAAAGGATACACAAAGCACGACAGGTTTCAGAAGCCGGGAGAAAGAATTTAGTATTGCAACTGGAGTGCCGAAAGTTGGAGCATATTGGACTCCGTAATGTGGGTAAAGGGTGCATGACCTTGCCCTCGTGTCAGATCAAGGTGCTTCCCTAAATGTGTCGGTGATTTTATGTTGAAGTGGGCATGTTCACAAGCATACGGGTGAAGGTCATGTAAGTAGGTAGGCATTAATAATTTGTAACGGTGCTAGACGTAATGGAACAGCAACAGGCTGCATGCGGGTTGGGATACTGCGAAATCAAGGCAAGAGCAGGGACTCAAACCTTGCCATGTAGAGGCCTGAATCACTACACTACATGGCGCAGGTGGATAGTGATCATCGAAGTCTGAGTAGATACAAGTAGCGGCAATCCAAATTGCACTTACCTTAGAAAGCTGAGTGCCAAATTCATCAATTTTCTGGCTCAGTGGGGTTTTTTCCTGTTCTGTTTGCATAATTTGATCACGAATCTTCCCAATTTCAGTGGACAATCCTGTGCCAACTACGACACCACGGCACCTACCAGAGGCCACATTGGTACCGCTGAACAGCATGTTCTTCTTATCCTGATTCACCGCATGTGTGCCGGAGACGGGATCAGAGTGCTTCAGTACAGAAACAGACTCCCCGGTTAAAATTGATTGATCTACGCGTAAAGTCGTACTCAGTATGTGGATGATTCTGATATCAGCTGGGACGCGGTCACCGACTATAAGAGAAGTAGACGCAATCAAGATACATGAGAAGTGCTTCTTAAGAATGGTCAATCAAATATGGTAAGACAGTGTCGGTGTAAGCAAACTGAAACTTACCATAAAAGTTCGGCAGAAGACAGATAACCAGTAAATGATGCAATCAGATACCTCGCATAACTCATGGTGCCGGTTGATGTAGCATCAATCATCACGAAGAATCGAGGAAACGAAACATAGATTGAGTCGGTCACACGCTCTCTTGCTGGATACGACCATCGTAATGGTGAGAAATTTCGCGGCTAAAACACCCACTCAAATTGACAAAGCGGAGTTAGTTGTCTACCTTATTATGTAGCGTCCATCCGACCAGGTGTGCAGTTGAAGGCCAAAGATGAAGTTAGTTTGGTTAGAATATTGGGCAGAAAGATAGGTGGGCACATAACTCCTTCGAGAAGAATATCCGTTTAGTGCTCTCTTAATGTGCTGCCCCTTTGGTTGGCATCTCCATTTCAGTGTTCAACCTCACAAGGTAACCAATAAGGTGAGACAGATTAACAACATCCACAAGTGGGCAGCGATTTGATTCTCTACTACTCGAAGGTTATGCCGCCCAACATCAGTCAAACAATACACAACTCTTATGGGTGAAAGGTGAGCAAGTATGTGTCATACGTACTTGAACTACTCTAACTTCGCCTCACGTAGATTCCAACGGTTAACAAAGTCACAACTGCTTGCGAATGAACTGAGCAGATGATGATGTGTGCCGACGTGACCGTATTCAAATTGTTGTTGTTTACAGGCAACTTGACCCACAAAAACTGTGACAGAAAGCAGCATGATTGGATACATCTATTAAACAATTTTATCCTCGTGCGCACATCAACGCCTGTCTGAAAGGAGAACGAAAATTACACGGGACGCATAGACGGTTCAAAGGCACGTTCAATAGGTTGTCGTTGGTTTGACGCTTGAAAATTGAGGTATTTTCTTTAAAGTTCTGTCGTATGTAAACACAAATAATGCGCAGCCTACAAGGCTCCTTGCTAGAGCTACGTATGCTTCCTTCCCTAGTGAGTCCCCGAAGCACGTATGATCAATTGCTCAGTTTACTCGTACGCAATTAGAGGTCCTTTCGGCTGAAATGAAAGATCATCACTACCTAGCACTTGCAAATGCGCCCCATCGATGTGGACAAGTTGATATAAACACCGAGTCATACTAAAACGGATTCACTCAATGTACGCAAAGGCACAATTCGTTATCATATGTCTTAAGGGACATTGAACGCAAACAAGGAGACTGAGCACTGCGGTCCGAAAACAGGTCTGCAATTATTTTTATTTTTATTATTATCTGGCGGCGCGAGTTCGATACTGCGTAGTGGCATGGAGACATTCGCAGTATCCTTAGCCTTCGTGCGACCGGGGGATGGTTGCGCGGCAGCGAGGCGTCGGTACTGCGTACCAGCGTACTGCTGATGCCTTACTTTGTTACTTTCCTTTTGACTGTAAATACAGAAAAGCATAGTTGTGCATGTGCGTTATGACATGCTAGTGCACTAAGAATGAAATTGGATAGCGTACCTACAACTTGACAAGACGCTTGAAGCCGTGAGCTGAGCACTTTCAAAATCACAGACCCATTGGATCTACACTATTGTGCAGAATTCGAAATTGAAATCACTGTTGAAGGCATCAGGAGCAGATCGACTTCCTACGGCCTTTTCAAATTCGAGGGGATAGCTCATGTGGACGATTCGCATGATTTGCTAAGGAAACTGTGGGAGCAGGAAACTGTTCAAATTGACTGAGGCTGCGCCGTCCCGATTTTCAAAGTTCACATTCGGAATGCGGTAATCATAAAGGTGAAAGTGTGATCAGCATCGCCCCTAAGTTACTTAACTTGTTCTTAGCAGGTTGAATGTCCTGTGCTTTGTGCTGGTTATTATTGTGTTTTCTTTTTTCGCATCTTACTTCACCGTAGTGCAGCACAATAGCTGAGGTATTTCTTACCTCCGGTTAACGTGCAGAATGAACGAAGAATTCAGATACAAGAGCAAAACCGCGGGTAAGTTGGAATTAAGTAACAGCTGAAAGCGTTAGCGCTTCTTATAGAAACAGGTGCCACTCCAATTCGAATGACCGAGATGAAGATGACTAGTGTTCAACCGCAACTATCGCGCGAAAACACTTCTGAGCATAAATATTTACAATGTCTGTTTAAACATCGCATTCCGTGACCGGTTCCGCGCTCCTTTGCATTCCGGGTGGAACTCTGAAAGCAAAGACAGTTGGAAAATGCCGCTACCTTTACACCAGCGAAATGAAGGCAATCCATATCATTTGAAGTACTTGTTATGTGACTGGACTACGACACCCCACCTGAATGTGAACTGCGACCATAGTTGAAGTGAAACCCGCTTGCGCGTTTCGATCCGTCTACTTGTATGTTTAAAATGAACCAACAATGAGTCAGGAACCGTTTTGTAGAGAACTTATTGTGCCTCTGCGGTAAAGGGGTCTGAACCGAAGTGCTGAGATATGTACACGGCGAGTATAGCTAAGCACTACACTGATTAGGGAATGCAAGGTTGCGAGCGGACAACACATCTAATCGCTTCAGATACAGTCCCAGTGACCGGATCCCCGAGGTTCACTTCAAAGTGAATCGGAGTACAGATTGAGGTCACTTGTCGCGATCTATTCAAACGAGCGCTTCAATATGACCAAAAATAATGCAGCTTAGCATGGTTAGACAGATAGCAAAAGCATCGCAAACCATCCCACTAGGTTAACGTCCGATTGATATGCGATAGTTCACCTCTACCAGATAAAGACTACCGTCGGCTCAGTTAGGTGCATAGGATTGTAGTGCTACTTGTAAGTTAGCGTGAACCATGATAGGGATCCAATATTCTGAGATCTTTGCACCGCTGAGGTGGAGACCCAGCGATGGTGTAGGAGGGCTCTTCAGAGTTCAAAAATACTTCCTTCCAGGGTTGACCAATTTTTACCAACACAAGCAAGCATTCTACCCAATAAGTGATGAATGACTCCACTTAAGTTGCCGCATCTGGTGTGGAAGTACTTTCAGTTGGCCGACTGATGAAATCATCTGGGATTAGAATGCTTTGCTTCAAGCCTAACTGAATACATTGACGTACAACTTCGCGATCTTCGGCATCAGCCTAGCCACTATAAACAACAGCCCATATGTACTCTATACTCATGTTTCTCACTGTCATCTAATGAAAAATGATGAGATAAAAAGGGGTCCGGCATAGATGTCCTACATGGAAGCAGAACCAAAACGCCTACAACATTATAACGTCGGACGTTTCGTAAGCCTAAAAACGGAACAGACATGTAAGAATTAGACATCGTAACATTGGTTCACGATGCCACCTAATAAAGGCTAGAAAAGACTGAATGGCTCGCTTACCAATGAATGCTCAAAATGTGCTCATATGGGTAGATAAAGCTTAAGTTGACCTAACTATCCGCGTCTCTGTGCGTCACCGAGAATTGATAGACCTTGGATAAGTATGAAAACGATGAATGACCAGCTCAGCGAACGAATTTGCATGGTAGAAAGTTGCAGCACGATCCCTAGGGTGAGCTAAAAGTATGATCACAAGTTGATGGCATTTAAAAATGCTGCTTATTTGTCTCCGGTGAGTACGGCAACAACAGCTTAGCAATTATGGCGCTCGCTTGTTTAAGTAAAACTCGAAAGTGATAACGCGACGACATATCACTGAGGTAAGCCGGTCAATCATGCCGGCGATTCGCTGCCATACGATCCCCAGCAGTCGCGTACGGTTTCCACGAGGGCAAGCGTATTCGCACCGACGCAGACTCGATTCAACAAAACTGAATAAAAAAGGAGAGGCCTGAAACAATCGGTCACTAACTGGCATACAGACATAGAGAAAGAGCGAGGTAGTTGGTTGAATGGATAGTTTGTGTTGCAGCAGGTTACTCGTCTGGAGGAAGGTATCAGGGCCGGCTATGCTAGTGGGCAGATACACAAACCAACGTTGTGTAGCTGAAAAGTCAGCCGCTTCGACATTTGTTTCATGTTGCTCTTTCTTGAAAATTCAAATTCTTGGATCAATTCCGATTACCTTTTGCTTACGGATCGGTGATAGTGGTTAATGTCACAGTGGTGTTAGTTAAGGTAGCCGGATGTAGGATTTCTGAACCGAAATGGACCGGGTATCGTCATCAAAATATTAGGCGAAGGTGAGAAACACACTTCAACTGTTGTGTCGCAAAACGAAAAGATGGGGTTAATGAAAAAAACGAGATAAAATACAAAAACAAAGGTTAATATACTGCTCAGTAACATACTGTGCTTCAACACAGATAGTGATTGGAGAGGAAAGATAAGCAAAGGGATGGACAAAGAAAGAACACAAACGCCATGATGGTCGACTCTTCGCCATATTGACTAGTGTATTCAACCAAACGCTTTCATTATCCTCGGGATCCCAGCCGGGAACGCGGGAGACAACAAGTCCGAAGTGGGGACTTTCATTCCTCTTGGACATGTCGTGGCTTGGCTCCCCTTCTCTTTCCATCCACACCCCGGGCATGCAAACAGTGCAAATCACGGGAGTCGGTGTGCTGGCATGCGCAGCATGTGGCCTAGCCATCGGAGCCTGTTGCGTGACATAACGGTGCTGAGCGGTACACCCGCGCTTTCTGCATCAAATACGCGATACCGAACATGCTCATTGCGCATGCGGCGTTCCCACTAGACATGAGTCAGATTGCGAAGACACCGATTGTCGAAGATAATATTAAAAAATCGCCAGTTGTACGACGTAACGGCGTTTCGCTGCCATGCGACCACCACCATGCACGCGCGGGCTGAGTATACCACGAGGACACCCACCCCTAAGCGGATTCGAAGCGGTGACCTTAGGGTTAAAAACCACGCGCGCAGACTACTCGGGCGTCGGCCGAGTCGAAGATAACAAACTACTTTAGATCTGATAGGCCAGGTT